CTGCAAAGAAAATAAAGTTGAAGATTAATGGAAAAAATGTTATAACTAGATACTACATATATTAACAAAATGGTTATATTTCTATCCAAATTAATCAGAAATAAACTCACTCTGCAGTTTCAAAAACAACTGTCCTTTGGGAAATGTTAAGGTTATGAATGACAATAAATGTATAATTAGTTTTACTACACTATTAAGAATCAGCATCAGGTTAAGGAGGATGGCCATAGAACAACAGGAGGCACTCGGTTTTAAGGAATGTACTTATTGCATATTTTGCAATCTTTTTTATCTTTATCTGTTTTTTTCTTTTTTTAATCCTTTTAATCTTTTTTATCTATAAATTTATCTTTTCTAGAGAAGAGACAGTGTCATCCTAAGCCATGATACTTGCAGAGCTGAAGCCTGAATTTTCCAGCCGAGTTCCTGCTACAACCAGGCAAAGACAGTGATTTTTCAAATCAGATTTTTGTCATTTCTCCTCTTATAAAATCCATACAGATGAAGTTAATTCAAAGCTTCTTTGCATGTATACCTGGTCAATTTGCTGGCCCAGCCCTCTTCAACTTGAGATATATAGCTTTGCTTCACAGTCCAAGTCTGAATGCAGTTACCATTAGTGAGATACATATTATCTAAATACAGGTTTCTTTGAATGTCTAATGTTTTCCTGTAATCAAATAATTTCAATTTGATCTCAGGTGTCATATATAACAAAAACAAAAATTATAGTAGTGTCTTGCATAGAAGGGCTAAATTAATAAGCAAGTTAATTTTAGTAGTATCATTGATTTCTCTCTCAAAAATCATTATTTTTAACCTCATGTGATCAGCAATCCCAGAGTAGTCTCATTCTTTATAGTTATCTTAGCTTTTGGATACAAATGAACACTTGTTTTTTTCTTTTTATCTCATGCATTTGTTCCTTCACCATCTGATTAGCTAAATGATCAGCTGAGGGAAAAGAGAAAGGAATGTTTCCACAGCATATGCAATCCCTCACCTGTTGCACTATCTAAAAGCAAGAGGATACAGCTCTGACAAGGCAGACTTTACATGAACGCCTCTAACTACCCAACCAACCTCAGGCTCACAGACTTGCAGGTGATATGTTTTGCCTTTTCCAAGGATATATAACCACATCTGAATAAAATATATTAAAAAAAAAAAAAAAGTAGAATAAAGTTCAGTAAATACAAACTTCAAAGTGTGCACTGGTTGGTAGGAGGATACTTGGTAGTAGGCCATTTTTTCCAGCAACAGAGTGCTATCAGTGCAGTTCTCTAAAACCTGTCTTGTATGGAGTTGAGCTTTACTGCTCACTCTTGCTTTAATCCTGAGCATTTTACACAGGTCATCAAGAAGGATCGCCATTTTTACAAACAGCCCTAACAACATTTTTACAAATAGACCCAAATCTCTGGACTTGGCCATTCTGAAGAACAGGCATTTCTGGACCCTCTTGGCAAACATGTTCTGAAGTACCTAAGATGAATAGCTCCTCTCCTTTTCTCTGTCCCAGACTTAAAGGTTTAAAGTGGAATATTTCCATGGCATTTTAACTTAATATTAAAACGTAAAACTGTTTTGTGGCATCTGTTATCCTTTTATCTTTATGAGTCTAAATCCACGTACTGTGTTAAATTTCAAGGGCAAACTTCCTATTATTTTTAATGGAAATTTTGAGTAAATGCAAATCATACATTATCTCCCTATAAAGTATTCCATAGCAAAATCTGCATGTTTCACTACAAAGTAAAACCATAGTGGCTAAATGCCTTCAGTTGTACTATCTTGTTTACTCAGTAAATTCAATTTTCTATTAATGGGTAATACATTAAAAAGGAATTAATCTATTGAAACTATGGAAGTACTACAAGTTCATGAATGTGGGCTCAGTTTCTTGTGCATGTTTTCTTTGGATTTTACCAGAGAGGGCCTCATAGCTATTGAAGATAGACATGAATAGCAAGGGGAAGCAGGGATGGGCAATAATTTTATACTTTATAGCCTTAAAACTCAGAAAAATATTCATAAAAGGCTTGTATAAAACACACTATTTTCTTTTTTGCATCCAATATACTGGTAAGTGAAGGATGAAATTTATATATAAATTCTATTTAAATGCTGGTATCCATAAATGCCTATCTTTGGAAATATATTTGATCCTTTGAGAAAAAAAGAGTTCTTAGTTCAGGTTTGACAGTGACTGCATACTCTGCAGCCTCTTTGGTTGGAAGGAGCATAACCCTGGTAACCTTCCACATTGGGATGTAAGCATTGTAATATTTAGAAATTTAAAATACTTAGCTTTGATGGTGAAAATACCCAATTGATATGGGCCATTTGAAATAACAGAATGTATTTCTCATTCATCTCCACTGAAGTAAAAAAGACACCTTATTTTCCTCTGTATGCTTATGCCCATTTTAAAGTCCGAGAATCCATTTTAAAAATCATTATGATTCTAATTCTCTCAAGTCAAATCTCATGTAAGAAAATATCTAGAAAGGCGAAATAATTAATTTAAATCTAGACTTATTTCCAGCTCTATACATTTCCTTCATATCCCTAGTAACATGGAGGATGAATTGTAAGTACTATTATACTATTATACATGCTTTAAAGTCATGACTTATTTTTAAAGCAACAGGAATTGGTATATTTTCCAAACATACTGTTTTGTTTTGTTTTGTTTTCTGATTATCTGGTATTACTGTAATGCTAAGGAAGGACTGTAAGTTTAGAACTGTAAGAATCACATTAGTTTTGGTGTAGTGCAAGCCATTAACTACAATGGGACTTACTGTGACCTTTTTTTTCCTCACCACTCTGATCCCCATTTACTGCTGCATAATCAACTATGTAATAGTGCCCCACAAAACAGAGAGCATAGTGGGTCACCCATGGCAAAGGATTAAGTGGCCAAAATGCAAGGGGTTCTTCTAAGTAGGAGCGTACAACATATTGCTCAAGCTTTATTAAATTAGGTTTATATTTAACCTAAATCATCACTGAAGTGATGAGCAAGTGGTATAATAAACAGTCGTGGTAACAGTGGTTAAACTTGTTACCTCAATATTTTACTGAAATCCGGACAAGATGGAACATATGGATAAATAAATATATTAAGCAATTTCCAAAAAAAGACCAGATGACTGTGCCAAGTCAGTATTTTTCATCCTATTGTTTAAACTATGATTCTTCCTTAAAACAAAAGAGTGGTGAAGTAATCCTAATGTAAAAATTGTGACCTAACTTAATCCCTGCTTCTTAAAAATAATGTTTTACATTTACATTAAGAGAATGCTGAAGTTTGTACTGTTATGTTAGCATAAAAATGGTATTTCAGAACCAGTAAAGTTTGTATTCTTTTTAAAATACGAAACATTCCTAATTCTTCCTTTATCTTTATTGGAATCCCACTTGAATAAATGTGTGTAATGTAAACATGTAGTCACATGGTTTGAACTTTTGGGTAGACCTGTGCGGTGTCAAGAGTTGGACTTGATGATCCTTAAGGGTCCCTTCCAACTCAGGATATTCTATGATTCTATGATTCTATGTAATAAAATGTAAAAAAAAAAAAAAATCTTCTAAATCTTCTCTAAAAGAAAATAAAGTATATAAAATTAAATTGCAAAATTCTCTGTCTTGCAACCTCCTACATACACTTGATACATATAAGCACAACCATGGAAGAATATATTTCCAAAGGGGAGAGAATCCATGCTCAGATATTATCTGGGAAAAATGAATTGAAATTCCTCTGTGACGAACAGACTTTTTCCTCCTCAGGGTGACCTCTACCTTCAGAATATGATGGTTTTATTATGATTAATAAATTTCATTTCCACAGAGGAAAGGAACAGTGTCAGCTTAAACTTAAAGCAAGTAGGTTTCTTTTTAAATGCTAATTTTTAAACACGCCCTTGCATGACACCAAATTTAGAAGCTCATAAGGTTAGCAGAATAGATTCTGATTTTCATGCTGAAAATAACACAGATTTAAACTATATTGTCACACTGAAAAATCAGTAAACTAGTATAGTCACATAGTCATTGGTTCATTTAGTCACTATTATGCCAGCATACTTTTTTCTCATTAAATTAGTGGCATTTAAATGCTTTGTGATAACTTACCCTGGGAATATTCATTCTAGGTAAACAATTTACTAAAATTTAGAACATGTAAATGGCAAAGTTTTTACAATGACTTCATAGTTGAGGTGATTATCTATGCATCTTACAGAATATTAAATCAATGTATCAGTACTGTTATGTGCACTTACAAATTCTTTACTCAGGAACACAACAGATGAACAATTTTGATGCACCAGTAATGTGAATGAGGTAAGTTTCACTATTTTTCAGTATGTCTAGAACAAGTATTCAGGACACAGCATGAAAAAACATAATATTTGCTAGCATTTAGTTTTACTGGCACTGGTTTTTAAGTAGCTTGACCAACACCTTACTGGGAAATACTGGGGGGAAAAAATCATCATTGCAATGCTAACATTTGTAGCATTATAGCAGCAAACTCTTTACCAAAAAATAAATCCTCATATGGTCTTCTCTACTCAGGTTATGTGTCATTTTTTTCAATGATTTTCTGTAAAAGGTTTAAAATTGCTCAAATACTATATAAAAGGGTATTTTGTTTTGCCCACTGCACAAACAGAAAAAAAAAAAAAAAAAAAGAATTAAAAATGGTAACCGAGAGACATTCGTTTTAGTAGTGCCTTTGAAATTGAATCTCTTTCTTTAAGTCATCAGTAATAGGTATTACTAGAGACTCTTAAAAATAGGGAAGGTTTGCCTTTCTCTAATTTTTTGCCTTTCTCTAATTAGGTTTTTTAGTTCTTTGTTGCTGTGGTTGTATTTTCATATACATCTAGGACAGACAATCTGATACTCACTGGAGACAGTTGGAAGATCTTTAATAACACATCTACTATAGAGTTTAATGACAACATTAATAAAGAAAAAAATCACAC